TCCTTGATAAAAACATAAAAGAAGACCACCCCACTGGAAGTTCCAACTCTTCACCCACAATATCCTAGCAACACTCTCTACCTCCCAGTGCCAAGTGAGGCAGTCTGGGGAAGCAAGGGAACATAAAACCAACTTTCAAAGACCAGGTGTGATTCACACCTTGAATTCTCTGCATTTGACCAACAGAATGAGAGACTCACTCATCAAGTTACAGGCAAATAGATCTTGATGAACTTACCTGGGTGGGTGGTGGAAGCAGCTGAAGCAACTGAACTGTTATTCAAGTTGCCATAACAAAATGCTCTTCGTGGGGGCTGGAGCGATAGCACAGCGGGTAGGGCATCTGCCTTGCATGCAGCCGACCCGGGTTCGATTCCCAGCATCCCATATGGTCCCCGAGCACCGCCAGGAGTAACTCCTGAGTGCAGAGCCAGGAGTAACCCCTGTGCATTGCTGGGTGTGACCCAAAAGGAAAAAAAAAAACCCAAAAAACAAAAAAAATGCTCTTCGTTACCAGCCACGTGTGAGGACATCTGCTCTTAAAATGACAGAGCTGATGGGGAAACCTGTCAGTGTCTCATTCCAAGAAATGGAAACTTCATCTGTGAAGACATTAATTCATTTAAAGCTAAGTCCCACATTCAGGTGTCCTTGGTGGAACCCAGGACTGTGGATCCAAATAGTGAACCAGGCCTGGTATCACGCAGACCCTAAACATTTCTTGGTAGCTTCCACCCCCAAGATGTATTTTTATGACCAAGTCCCATCTCTGGTAGGTGACTTTCCTCTTTTTTTAAAATGCTTCACACTTATTAAAATTCATCATTTGCAACACCGTGATGAATTACGAGCCGTATTCACTGGAGTTCTAAATCAATGCAGAAGAAAGAAATGTAACACTAGTTTCAAGGCAAAATGTTCAGGTTCGTATTTACATCACAGAGAACCAGGTTGGGCAATGAAGAAAAGATTTTCTAACAGAAAATTCTAAGACTTAGGGAAAAAATTGGATGTGAAAGTGGGGAAAGAGGAGATGAGCAAACTGTCTAATGCAGGAAGAGCTTGTTGGGGCTGGAGTGATAGTACAGTTTGTAGGGTGTTTGCCTTGCATGCAGCCGACCCATGTTCAATCCCTGGCATCCCATATGGTTCCCCCAAGCACTGTCAGAAGTAATTCCTGAGTGTAGAGCCAGGAGTAACCCCTAAACATCACTGAGTGTGACCCAAAAAGCCAAAAAAAGAAAAAAATAGTTTGTTACCAATCTAGTTGTGCGTATTGAAGTGCTGAGGGCTGACATTAGGAGACATGAATGAATTTCCTTTTTTGAAATTTCCTTTTCATAATTTTACATTACAGTTTAGGTAACATGGTGACATTACTGTTAAGGTTTATGGTTCTGATGTACAAAGTTTCTGCCCCTTCACCACCACCAAATGCCCCATACCCTCCATCACTGTCCCTATGCCACTTCTTGTCACTCTCATCATCCCTCCACCCACTGGCACCTATTTGGGCAAGGTCAAGTGTCTGTCATCATATAATACTATCATTCCTTCCCTTGGTTTCTCTCTGTATTCCAAAGTCCTTTTCTCTTAGACTTGTTTCATCTAACACCAGGTCCTCAGTTCTTTCAATGCTGCAGTGAACTGCAGATTCCATCTTTCCTTGGGTCACGACTGGGTTCTAGACTGCTGGAAGGTAGGGGTTGGGTAGGCAGGGCAAAAAGACAGTAGGCGACCACTAAGCACCCTAATTTCTAACAGTATTTATGATCATATGGCAGAGATGCCATTTGTAATTAATTAAATGTGGCTTCAAACTTTAGAGGCCAGGCTGAAAGATAAAAAAAAAAATATCCATCACTGGAACACAGTGATTCAAACCTCTTGCAGGGTTAGTGGGGCAGGAAGTGATCAGGATCCTAAGAAAACACTAAGGATCCAGAAGGATTCTATAGCACCTTTCAAGGGCAATGAGTTTTGGAGGGGCTGGGGGGCTGGGGCACGGCGGCACCCCAGTACTGGACTTAGAAATGTAAGGGTTGTCTTGGGATAAGAGGGAGTGTGGTGGTCATCAAAGAATACCCAAACAATTGTATAAAATAATATTGGTTTATTGTTTGAATTTTTAATTAAAAATAGGGGCTGGCTGTGCATTGATCCAGGCCATCGGGTCTGCCGGAGGGGAGGAGGTGTTGCCCCATTCGCCCTCTCCTCTCTGGAAAGAAGGATGGCGGCCACATGGGAGCCGTGTGGACAGCAGGTATGAGCCGGGAGTGTGGGGGCGACTAAAACCTCATGGGAAGGGGGGCGTTTCAGTCCGCCCTTCATGCCCTATCGAGGCCACCAGTTGCCCCCACGAGCGGTTCTCCAGCACGGCCACAGCCCCAGAAGCACAATGACCTAATGCAGAGCCCGGCAGCTTGGAGCAGAAAAGTGAAAGGACTATGCGTTAATCCAGGCAATCATTTCTGCCCAGAGGGGAAAGGGTGTTGCTCCCTTCCGCCCTCCTCCCTCTGGAAAGAAAGATGGCGGCCACATGGGAGCCTTGTGGACAGCAGGTATGAGCCAGGGGCGTGGGGGCGACTAAAACCTCATGGGAAGGGGGGCGTTCTGGTCCGTCCTTCACGCCCTACCGAGGTCACCAGTTGCCCCCCGCGAGCGGCTCTCCAGCACGGCCACGGCCCCAGAAGCACAAGGACTTAATGCAGAACCCAGCAGCTTGGAGCAGAAAAGTGAACGGACTATGCATTGATCCAGGCCATCAAGTCTGCTGGAGGGGAAAGGGTGTTGCCCCATTCGCCCTCTCCTCTCTGGAAAGAAAGATGGCGGCCACATGGGAGCCTTGTGGACAGCAAGTATGAGCCGGGAGTGTGGGGGCGACTAAAACCTCATGGGAAGGGGGGCGTTTCGCTCCGCCCTTCACGCCCTACCGAGGCCACCGGTTGCCCCCCGCGAGCGGCTCTCCAGCACGGCCAGGACTCCAGAACACAGAAACCAATTTCTTAACTATCTGACTTTCAGTAGAAATACTTCCAGGGTCAATAGGTAAAAGAGCAGAAATCCAAAACCAACATTTAATTCTTGAACCCAGCCGTAGAAAGCAAATCACTTCACAATGCTTTTTCAACATGTCTGATTGGGGGGTGGGGGTAAACTCTAAATAATAGTGGTGAATCTTTTATTGAAACAATGAATCTAATCAAAGCAGATAGAGTGTTAACTAGAATTCATCTGCCTCACAGGGGCGGGGAGGGGTGGGGGGTGGGGTTTTATTGGGGTTCTTCATGGTAAAAAATAAGTATTGGTAAAGGGAAATGTGTTTGATATTTGCATGACTGAGACATAAACCTGAAAGCTTTGTAACCTTTCCCACAGTGATTCAATTAATAAATAAAAAAAAGGAAAAAATAAATAAATAAATAAATAAATAAAAAATAAAAAAAAATAGGGGCTGGTCACATCCACAAGAACAAAAGCAACTGGTGCTGGTGCAGATATGGCGAGAAAGGGACCCTCCTTCACTGCTGGTGGGAATGCCGACTGGTTCAGCCCTTTTGGAAAACAGTATGGACAATTCTCAAAAAATTAAAAATTGAGCTCCCATTTGACCCGGCAATACCACTTCTGGGAATATATCCCAGAGAGGCAAAAAAGTATAGTTGAAGTGACATCTGCACTTGTTTGTTCATTGTATCACTCTTTACAATAGCCAGAATCTGGAAAAAACCTGAGTGCCTGAGAACAGATGACTGGTTAAAGAAACTTTGGTACATTTACACAATGAAGTACTATGTAGCTGTTAGAAAAGATGAAGTCATGAAATTTACATACAAGTGGTACTACATGGAAAGTATCATGTTAAGCGAAATGAGTCAGAAAGAGAGGGATAGACATAGAAAGATTGCATTCATCTGGGAAACATAAACTAACAAAATAGGAGTCTAACACCCAAGAATGGCCGATATTAGTACCAGGAATTTTGCTCCATGGCTTGGAGGTCAGCCACACATGCTAGGGGAAAAGTGAGCTCAGATAGAGAAAGGAGCACCAAATAAAGGGTGTTGGGAGGATCCTCCCAGGATGGGAGAAGCATGCTGAAAGTAGATTATAGACCAAACATGATTGCCACTCAATGCCTCTTTTGCAAGCCACAACACCCAAAAGGAGAGAGAGAACAAAAGGGAATGCCCTGCCACAGAGGAAGGGTGGGATGGGGGGATGGGGAGTGGGAGGGATACTAGGATCCGTGGTGGTGGGAAATGGGCACTGGTGGAGGGATGGGTATTTGATCATTGTATAATTGAAACCCAAGCACAAAAATTTGTAAGTCTACAACTGTACCTCATGGTGTCTCACTAATAAAAATTTTAAAAAAATAGGGGCTGGAAGGATAGGACAGCAGATAGGGTATTTGCTTTGCATACAGCTGACCCAGATTTGATCCTCAGCATCCTATATGGTTCCCTGAGCACTGCCAGGAGTAATCCTGAGCACAGAGCCAAGGAGTATTCTCTGAGCATCGCCGAGTGTGAATCCCCCCCCCAAAAAAACAACCTTTTTTAAAATTAAAAATAGGGCCACAGAGCTAGAACAGGGGTGAATAAGGCACTTGCCTGGCACCTCATTGGCCAGGGTTTGAATCCCCAGCTCCAAATCCCCAGGACACCACCAGGGGACACGCTTGAGTGCAGAGCCAGGAACATCCCTTGAGCACTCCTGGGTGTGGCCCCCAAAACAAAACAGTGATGATGATGATGATGATGATGATGATGATGATGATGATGATGTATTCCTGCAGTTCACTGGTCCTTTGCAATGAGGAACCTCTGAGACTGCTTCCCAGTGCTCTGGGATGAGACAGCCTAATGAACTCAGCTGGGGCTGAGTGCCACGTCCAAAGGCTTTGTGTCACCACTGTGCCCATGTGAGCAGCGGGGGCCAAGTCCTAACTCAGGCGGCCTTGGATTTCCTGCAGTGACAAGCAGGTCTCAACTTACCATCTGCAGCCAAATGTTGGTGGTTAAAACTTGGTTCTTCTCATCCTTAAAAGAAAAAAGAAAAGAATCGTAAATAGATTTTTCTGTGGTTCCCACATATGTGGTGTGATAATTCTGTGGCTGGGCTCCTTACAGGAGTGCGGATTGGATTTATTTTTGTTTGTTTTTGTGTGTGTTGGGGGAGAACCTCCCAAGTGGTGGTTAGAGGCTGGTGTACTCAATCGCTTTTGGGGGACATGATACATTCTCTCCAGGGGACCAGACCAGAAGCCAGAAAACTGATATGACCTGAGCTAGGAGTCAATGAAACTTGCTTGGTACAGGTGATGCTGTTATTAATGGAATAAGAATTAGTCTCTTCTGCAGGGAAAGCTTCCATCCATCTAAGAAACTGCATCTGTCTCTCTGATGCCAGAGAAGGAAAAAGGCTGCTGGGAACAGGCAGAACAAAGCACTGGGGTATGATGATGATGATGATGATGATGATGATATACTTCTCATTAGTTCCAGAGTCTGGGATCTGGAAATGTCACCAATGCCAGGCACTGCTTGGGATGTAGGAATGGGAGTCATGGATGCCCCTGCCAGAACTGGAAAGAAACCACCTCTGAACCAGGGACCCCTGCTGAGGTGTCTTTCCTCAAGCTTTACTTCAGCAAGGGACTCTTATCTCCCAGTGACATGAGGATATGCATCCCCAAAATTCACGTGGAGAAGCCTAACACACATATATACATACACACACACATTCACACATCTATTCACATCACACATATACACATACATACACACATACATCTATTCACATACACACATACACATATACACACATACACATATACACACATATATACACACCTATACACAAACACACATATATACACACATCTATAAGCACACACATATACATACATTCACACATATACACATACACACATATATGCACATCTATACACATACATACGCAATCACACTTATTCACATATACACATACACACACCTATATGCATACTCATATATATACATACACACATATACACATACATACATATACACACCTGCACACACACTGGGGCATTGAAGGTGAAGTCATGGGGAGGCGAGCAGGTGGTGGGGTGGGCCCCTGCCATGAGATTGTGCCCTTTGGTAAAGGCCCCCAAGCACACCACCTTCATTAGTGCAAAGACCCTGCCAGGTTCCATTTTCTTTTTTCAGCTGAACACTTCAGAACATTATTCACTGTCACTGTCCTCCCATTGTTCATCGATTTGCTCGAGCGGGCCCAGTAACATTGTGAGACTTGTTACTGTGTTTGGCATATTGAATATGCCACGGGTAGCTTCCCAGGCTTTGCTGTGCGGGCGAGACACTCTCAGTAGTTGTCAGGCTCTCCGAGAGGGGCAGAGGAATTGAACTCCGGTCGGCCATGTTGGCTGCATGCAAGGCAAATGCCCTACCCACTGTACTATCGTTCCAGCCCAGAACCTTACTCAGCCTTGTGAAATATGAAAATCAGGGCCCAAGAGATGGGCAGGCAGGAAAGGCACTGGCCTTGCACTCAGTCACCTGCAGTGGCATCCCCGGCACCCAGATGGTCTTTTCCAGGAGGGATACCTGTGCACAGGGCCAGGAGTAAGCCCTAAAGACCACCAGGTGTGGACCCCCCAAAACAAAAAGAGTACATGGAAACTATGGCCTGGGAGATGAAGCACTGGGGCGGGTGGTATGAACATTCAGTGCATGAGACCTTGGTTTCACCCTGATACTGGCCCTGGCAGCACCACCTCATCCTACTAAAGCCTGCATGAAGGTGAGGCCATGTGGACAAGCATAGTCAAGGGCCAGGTGGAGGTGTCTGTCTGGTTTGTGCCCCGGCATTTCCCAGTGACCCAATCTCCAGCGCCACATTTTTGAATACTTACCAGAAAATAACCAAGAGGACCTCCCAGTCTCCTGCCAGGTTCCCCCCTATCAAATAATTCATGAATCCAGAGACCAGAGGTACAAACAGCGCATGTGTCACTGACTGGGATGCAACGTGGCTGGTGGTGAGGAGAGTGCCAAGACAGGTATGGGTCAGGAGGTGGAACCCTACAATCCCCAAACATTCAGTTCTATAACTAATCTTTTCCCATGGACCTACTAAGAGACTGAGAGTGTAAATATTCTTTCCCCGGAATAATAATGATAATCATAACTGCCATAAAAAAAAAGATGGCCAGTAATTTGGGAGTTGATGAGAATGATTCTGGGGTGGATGAGAGGATTTCATGGAAGTATATATATTTATCTACAAACTCCATCCAATTCTATGCAATTAACTATGCACATTTTTTACAGAGCAATCATACCTCAATAAAGTGTTTGTTTTAAATACACTTTTAGGAACCATGTTTTTAAAAATCAATCTCAAAAAGAAAAACAATAATCAATCTTCCCAAATAATCAAACCTCTGCTATAGATTACAGTGATTCTGATGATAAATAATAGACTATCTTTCATTTCTATGGCTATTGTATTTCTAGGAGTTACAAACTGACATTCAAGATTATTATATGGACCTACCAAATACTTTTCTCTGTTTCTGTGTAGTTGTGGAGGGAAAAGGAAATAAAACAGAAAGCCATAGATCAGCGTCTAATTCCTTGTTTGCAGGGAAAATTGCTGGAGAATAAACATTCGTATTTATGTAACACCAAGATTACTTCTTTTATCAATTGAGTCTTTACGCCAACCATATTTCTGATTTAGCATTACAGAGCAATAAACCAAAAGTCGGATTTTCCCTGATTGGTGAGATATTAAGTCTGACAACAGCCTCATATCCCAAATAAGGAATAAGCTAGCACAAAACAGTAAGAAATAAAAGGACAAGGAATCCAATGCCAAAACCAGCGGAAAAAGAAAAAGAAATCTACCACAGAGGTATCCGGAACTAAGCTCTGAAAAGCACACTGCTCACTCGCAAACACAATTTCCTTTCTTCTGAGCATCACACACACACACACACACACACACACACACGCATGCATGTATGCATGCACACATGCACTTCTCAGAACACTCATTGACCGTTGTGTCCACTCCCCCAGCCCCACTGGTGCTAATCCTGAGGATTCTGAAAGCACCCGCAGATTGAACATGCCCATATCTGTTCTGTGTGAATTTCCACTCCCAGCACCTCTCACCTTCCCAGCTGGAGGGACAGCCCCCAACCACTCATCTATCAAGCTTTCTGACTTATTCTCTGCTCCCCTTGCTTTGTTTCTCTCTGGAATGTCTGTTGGACTTGATTCACTTATGGTAGCATGGCTGGTCCACCCAGACTGCCATAGACGGAAGGATGCCACCTAACTGCTGAAACGTGTTCTGGGAAGTGTAAGAGACCCACGTTTTAGTCCAATCTTCCATCGAGACACTGTGCTGAATATGGTACAGACAAAGGTGGGCAGAGTTGGCTGCTGGCCTCTACAAGCTGTATGCCTGGGGTCCAGCACATTTCTCCACAAACCTATGTCCTAACAGAAGCAGGTCCTCACTGTCCCTCCAGCGGGCTTCAAGGATCTCTCTCTCTCTCTCTCTCTCTCTCTCTGACACACTCATACACACAAACACACACCCTGTAGGTGACACTCAAGCTGTGGCATACTTCAAGATGCAACTCTTAGTATTGGGAATATTTCAATATTTCAAGCTGGGGACAATGTAAAGCTCTCACAGGCTCAGGAGAAACTTTTTGTGACCTGCAGAAAACTTTGAAAATTCGGGACTGGGGAATGAGTGTTTGGATCCCTGTATTTCATGGCCCTCCAGGGTAGTCCTGCGTCCGGGAGGGCTCTAGGGACTGACCCTGGCTCTAAAGCATCACTGGGTGTGGCTCCTAGCTAAAACAACGATGTAAAAAGCTACAAAGAGTTGTCTCTGATGAGGAGTACTGCCAGAAACAGCGTTTCCGCCAAAGCAATGTCTCCAGGCAAACATCGAATTACAGAACGTCCGGTCTTTGGTACAAGACACCATCCCCTGTCCCTGATGCTGTTCTCCCTCCTCTCCCCTGGACGCTGCCAGGTCCCACAAGCCATCCCTTAGCTCCAGGGTGCTGGGAGGGGGCGTGCACACCATGCTAAGGCGTGCAGATGGAACACCTGTACCTAAGCTCCACCCCAGCCTTCTGCCCTATAAGCGCCGTGTCAGCTGCGGTGTGTGAGTTGCATGTGTGACTCCATTCAAGGGGAGTGATTTCCATATGACACCTCACTCGCCAAGCCCACACTGCCCCAACCTGGCAGAAGGCACAGCCAGGGCACCTCCAGGTTGCCCTTCCTGGAGGAGGCCTCCCGAAGCCCGCTGAGACCTTTACAGACATCTGCTGGCTCCCCACGGAACTGCTGCATCTGCGGGGAACAACTATATGCATGGGCTGGAGCAATAGGACAGCAGGGAAGGTGCTTGTGGCGCACACAGCTGATCCAGGCTTGATCCCCAGCACCCCATAGGGCCCTCCAGGCACCTCCAGAAGTAATCCCTGAGTTAAGAGCCAGGAGTAAGCCCTGAGCACAGCTGGGTGTAGCTAAAAACCCAGAAACAAACAAATGAAAACCCCACACGTTCCCGTTGACTCTATCCCAAGCACTGCACAGAGGCCAAACGGATGGTCTCTGAGCCATTTCTGCCTCCAGGACTCTCCAGAGAAATTCCAAACTCTTCCCCTCTATTTCTGACTCCCCAAGTGGCAGTTGCACAGGCTCTGAGATACTATATTTAGGAGCACAGCCATGAGAAAGGCTTTGACCTTTTTTCCTTTCCTAAAAAATCATACGAGAGTTCACGCATAAAAGCGATCTTCCTTCCAGCCAGACTGGTGTGTGATTCCCAGCCAACAGTCACCCCAGAAGACACACATGGTCCAGTCCATCAGGCTGAGACCTCTGGGAAGCCCATGTGACTGATGAAGGGGGAGAAGGGCATCTCCTCCTCTGGTCAACACTCACCTATGTCCCCTCAAAGACACGCCGCCTGGTGCCACACTGAATTTGCTAATGAT